CAATACACAAAAGTGGCGTTAAAACTAAAATCTACAACTAACGTGGTGTTGCTCTACAATGTGTAATTTCCAAATTACTAGATTCCATTATTGCTAATCACCTGAACTTCCACACAAAAAATATCATCTATGAAAGTCCACAATAACGAATCTGTCCGAATTCACATCACGAACTATTACCAATATGGAAAAGCATATCCAAACCGATGCTATTTATCTGGACATAGCTAAGGCGTTTGACTCGGTTAATATTGGGCTACTTATCCAAAAACTGAGCATTATACCCATAATGCTTTGGATAATTTGAAGGGAGAAATTCTAAATTGGATACAGTCATATTTGGATGGAAGACAACAAATTGTCAAATTGAATGAAGCAATGTCAAAAAGCATTGAAGTTACCTCGGGAACCGGACAGGGCTACCCAATTGGTGTAACATTGTTTCTACTATTTATCATTGACCTGCCCCATCATACAATCGACTCAGTATTACAATCATTTGCTGATGATACCCGACTATGGAAAAACATTCAAGACTATGATGATTGCTTAGCCTTACAAGCTGATCTGAATAGGATTGTGAAATACTTCCAAAGTAATCAGCTGAAATTGAAAAAAAAGCAATTTTTACTATTTGCACTGCGTAAAATGAAATGGTCGCATGGATTTAAGTTGCCACCATACGAATGTCGATTGCTGGAATTGCAAATGATTACGCTTGCTGAGCGAAGAAAAATAGCTCAAATCGCAATGGTTCATAATGTGTTATGCGGGCATACATCATCGAGACACATTATGAACGAAATCAATATTAGGACACTACGGCATCGGACGAGAGGCACATCATTCCTGTCTCTACCAGTAAACACCGTGATTACTCCAGATTTGAACCAATCAATCATATGCTGTCTACGTACAATGATTTTTATAACAAGTTTGTGCCAATTAAGCCACCTTTAACTCATAAAGAAAATAAGAATTATCATAATGTTCCTACTCCAGTCTGTGATACTTATTTAGGAGTACAAATTATTATTATTATTTACGAGTACAAATACTGTTAAATAGAGAATTAATGAATATTTTAAAAGAAATAGATTATTATGGAGAGAGTAATAAATTTTATGCAAATATAGCAACTCAATTAATGTAATATAATGTAAATATATAAAAGAATATTTACATCAAATAAACCACCGCTGGTAAAGAAAGGCTGTATGGTGCAGAATAATAATAATAATAATAATTTGGTATTTTCTGTTCTGAAACACAGAAAATTGAGAAATTGTCTTACAAAAATTCAAAATCGTCCATACAGCCACTGTTTTATAGTTAGAACGATCTCATGGCGTTCCATTGAGCATATCTCAATCATTTCACTTGATAAAACATACGAGTTAAAAAAAAGTTTGCAATCTGAAATTTGATTCATTTGCTCTCGTACAAAAATGACTTCAAAATTTTGCTACGAAAAATTGAAATATATTTATTTTCGGAATTTTTATGAGCTGAATGAGTTTCTATGGTCCAATTGAACATAATGAATCCATTTGTACGACTAAAATACCAAGAACAAAAAATTTCGTTACTCAAAAGATGATGTCGAAAATTGACATGTAAAAAATCGATTCAATTTTTTTGACCAAAATTTTGAAATACACTTGTTTCTCACAGTTTAATGAATTCAATGAGTTTCTAAGGGTCAAATAAACTCATTGAATCCACTACTGTGTTTAAAATATTGGAAACAAAAAATTTCGCCATTCAAAAGTTGCAATCGAGAATCTCCCATATAAGGCAAAAATCGATTCAGAATTTTTTTCAACGAAATTTTCAAATCGAATAATAATTCATAGTTTAATAAACTGAATGAGTTTCTGGAGTCTACTTGAACACATTGAAACCAATTCTATAGCTTAAATACGCCAAACAAAAAATTTTGTCGTTTAAAACTTGGAATCGAAAATCATTCATATTGGGAAAAAAGTGACTTGAAGTTTTTTCAACGAAATTTTGAATTACACTTTTTTATGATGATTCATGTTGAATCCAAATGCTCATACTATAAATTTATATGACAGATAAAATTTTGAAACGTTTTTATTCTGCATTTGGCTGGGGTGTTTGGTCAGATTCTTTAAATTTATGCCAAATTGATGCAAATAGAACAAAATGTACCCATGATTTCTTCATTTTTTCAGTTTGATAACAGTTTCAATTTTAAGGTAGACTATAAATTTATTGGGTATACTATAAATTTTTTTTTTGCTCTTTTCTGTGTTTTTTCGAAAAATTTCAGTCCTATGGAATGAGTTAGGACAAATAATGACGATTGGCATCAAAAACCTCATTGATTTCATCAATTTTTTTGATTTTTTTGAGTTTTTTCGGTGAAAATTGATTTTTCTGAAATTGTTTTTTTTCGACTTTCCTTTATTTTTTTTGCAAAATTTCAATCGAATGGAACATATTAGGGCCTAAAAAGAAGTTTTACATCAAATTTTTTCAATTTTTTCGACTTTTTGTAATTTTTTTGCAAAAATTTCGAGGTCCTATAATTTCGCAACTACTCGAAACAGAGCAATATTGTCTGAAGCAACTTTTTTGTACTCCTCAAGAGCTTTGCATGTCAACTACTGAAAGTGCTAAAAGAGTTCTAAAAATGTACTAAAAAGTACTAAAATTTGCAAACCCTTCATATGGCTGTGGTCGACTCTGGGCGATGGATTACTGCACAAAATCATGTTAAACGTACAGTATTGGACCGTGATATACCCTACTGAGCGTAACCTAGCTGTTATATTAATATTTGAATACAAAAGAATTCCCATATTTCCTAAGAATTTCACATTCCGTTGAATATTGTTTTATTCATTTGGCACATGTGCCGGACAAGTACCAAGCAAACTGAAATATATTTATCTCGGTATTTCAGAGCCAACCAGTATAACCAGATCTGACTTTTATCTTCAAGACTTTGAAAAATTTGATAAAATTCAAATAATTACCGATTTACGGTTTTTCATCAATTTTTAAAAATATTGAACCAAAAAATGATTTTCATGCTGCTAGTGTCCATCAAAAATTGACTGCCGTACATTTTCATGCAAGTATAAAGTGCATGAAACCATCATAGATATGATATAAATGGGATTTTATATCCAAATGTAAGATATCAAAACAAATCGGTAATTATTTGAATTTTATCAAATTTTTCAAAGTCTTGAAGATAAAAGTCAGTTCTGGTTATACTGGTTGGCTCTAAAATACCGAGATAAATATATTTCAGTTTGCTTGGTACTTGTCCGGCCCTGGTACCAAATGAAAAAAAAATTCGTCGGACTGTGAAATTCATAGAAGATAAGGGACAAGTTTTCTATTCAAATATTAATATAATAGCTAGGTCACGCTCAGTAGGGTATATCACGATCCAATACTGTACGTTTAACATAATTTCGTGCAGTAATCCATCGCCCAGAGTCGACCACAGCCATATAAAGGGTTTGCAAATTTTAGTACTTTTTAGTACATTTTTGAACTCTTTTAGAACTTTTAGTAGTTGACATGCAAAGCTCTTGAGGAGTACTAAAAAGTTGCTTCAGACAATATTGCTCTGTTTCGAGTAGTTGCGAAATTATAGGACCTCGAAATTTTTGCAAAAAAATTACAAAAAGTCGAAAAAATTGAAAAAATTTGATGTAAAACTTCTTTTTAGGCCCTAATATGTTCCATTCGATTGAAATTTTGCAAAAAAAATAAAGGAAAGTCGAAAAAAAACAATTTCAGAAAAATCAATTTTCACCGAAAAAACTCAAAAAAATCAAAAAAATTGATGAAATCAATGAGGTTTTTGATGCCAATCGTCATTATTTGTCCTAACTCATTCCATAGGACTGAAATTTTTCGAAAAAACACAGAAAAGAGCAAAAAAAAATTTATAGTATACCCAATAAATTTATAGTCTACCTTAAAATTGAAACTGTTATCAAACTGAAAAAATGAAGAAATCATGGGTACATTTTGTTCTATTTGCATCAATTTGGCATAAATTTAAAGAATCTGACCAAACACCCCAGCCAAATGCAGAATAAAAACGTTTCAAAATTTTATCTGTCATATAAATTTATAGTATGAGCATTTGGATTCAACATCAATGGATTGAAAGAGTTCCTTTGGGCCAACAGAACTCATTGAAACCAATACCATGTTTAAAATTTGCAAAACAGAAAATTTCACCGGTCACAAGATGATGTCGAGAATTCTTCATATAACACTCTCGAAAATCCTGCCATATCTGTTATTAATATACCTTGTAGTAAACGCGTTCATAGTGTTTCACTGTAGTAGCGGTGTTACCTATTAAATTTTCTTGTAGTAATACTACAGTGGAATTTAATAGGATACTTTGCTACTACAGTGAAACACTATGAACGCGTTTACTACAAGGTATATTAATAACAGATATGGCTGATTTTTGAGAGTGAAGGGAACAAATCAACTCAATTTTCAAATCGTTCAATCTTCAATGTTCCTAAGTTTTCGTAATTTGGTATTGTACCATTCAATCGCAGGATGTGCTTCATCAATTTTTAGAATTGGATTTTTGCATAATTTCAAATCGTGTTCAATTTCACTTTTCTACACTCCCAAACATATAATTTCCAATTTAATCCAATTCTTCATGAATTGAAATTAGGAAAGAATCATATTTTAATCAGACCTTAATATCAGAGCTATTTCAATACTCTGTTTTCTATACATTGTCACATAGTAAAAATTTTAACCGTGTTTTTGGCGTAAAGCGTATAGTGTACCACGCACCTACCCTACGGCCCTAGAATAACGCTCGATCCCATTATTTTCGGCGTTCAAAAATCGAGAAAAAACTGATTTTTAAGGGATCAAAAAATCAGGGGCGATCGCAATACTTTTCTTACACGACATGGTCGTGTGGAAAAGTAAAATTTGCCTTTGATTCAAGCAAATTAAAAGAAGAACAAAAGTACGGACAACAGCAAAGACTGTTGAAAATTTAACGCTTTGAAAATATTAAATGTGAAATGAGTGACAAGTTCCATTTATGTTTCATTATAACAATTGTTTTCTTATTTGATGGTTATAATACATTATATTTTCCAGTACACTTCAATGTCATTTATTGTTCAGTTACGCTTTGAAGATTATCTATTGTTATTATTGTTGGTAGCGACAACTTTCTAGCGTTACGGTTCGTTTTAATAATCTTAATAGGTGTTTCATTCACTGATGATGGTGCCATTGCATGTAGTCCAATATGTTTACTCTTGATCGTATTTATAACTTGCTGAAAATTTATGAAAAAGAGACCAGCATTACTTAATATTCCGAAATGTCTTTTGAAGCATATGCAATTACGTACAAGAACAAGTTTAATTAGAAATACCGCCAAAGTTAAAAAGCTTATGGTCATGAGAGCAGTTTCTGCTGATGGAAAATCCATTTCATGATTGCTTGGCGACCGCCTGATGCGATTTTCGTTTCGCTGAACAACTGCCGATGGTAATAATAATTTGAGTCGTCTTCCTGTAATAAAATGGTTTATGTCACAACTTTGAAGAATATGACATTCGTTTTTAAGCAAACCTATATCAATTAAAATGCCATTTTGAACACTTTTCAAAACTTTAGTCTTATATTGAATTCCTTCGAGAGTGCCAATTGAGAATGAATGTTCCACATCCATGAAAAATTTTATTATTTCGTCGAAATTAAACGGTTTCAAAATAACAATCCTTCCTTCTTTCTGGAGTGAATTTCGATAATTTTTCTTATTCTCCCTATCAATTTTAGAAGGATGCACTTCACTAAATATTTGTATACTTGCTGAATCATCATTTCTATCGGATTTGTTTGTATAGTGAATATTAACAATACTTTTATTTACTTTCACAAAATCTGGCTTTGGGTTTATATAACTGAAGAAATCCTTGTATTTAGAATAATCAAAGATATGAATTTTTGCGTTGTTCATCATCAATGATGTATTTAGTGTGATTGCATGCGGACTCCTAGTAGATTGTGGTATTTGAACCCATTCACCAGATATCAAGCAACAAGAGCAAATAATTAACCAAAATATTGTCATAAACATTGTCAAAATTTCACTCAGATAACTAAGAAAATGAAGCTTTTGGTAGAATGACGATGAATGCTTAACTGAACTGCTTAGCTCGCTGTGATTTTGAAATGTGTTACACACGTTCATCTTAATTCAAGTGTAATTTACCAGACCAGTGAATTTGATGTCTGCTCAGTCGCTGCTGTTCAACAGCGGTCTAAAACACCGGCGGTTGGTTGCATTGGGGTGGATGAAATAATTTATAACGAATTTATTTATTTAATGAATATTTTCGGAAATAAATCAGAATAAAATATCGAAACAATTTATTTATAAATAAATTATTTCAGAATTTCCGAAAATATTCATCAAAGAATTTTCCATTGATTTTTTCAAATAAATTATTTCGAAATTATCAATGAAATATAGAATTAATTTATGAACAAAAAGAAATTTGTATCAATTATAAAATGAACTACATACGTAATCCAAAATTCTCCGCCCCGCTTCCTGCGTTTACCTTCCGCTTAATTTTTAACCAAAATTCCAATAGAATTTTCTTCATGACAGGATTGCAACACAATGGTTTTGGCTAATTGCATTTGATATGACACAACAGTGATGGAAATTTATTGCTTTTTATTCAAAAATCTCTGAACATTCTGCCATGAAAATAGCAGTTTACCTTGACAAGAACATTAAAAAATCGCTATTTTGACCATTTCAATATAATTTTTGAATAAAATTTCAAGTGTCGATTTTAGATAAAATTCATGGAAAAGTTGGTGTTTGGTTGTTCATTTCGCAAAATAATAAAGGAATTATGTCTAGGTTGACCCGCACTAACCATTTTGCCCATAACTTTTTTTGGAATAAAGATAAATGCAAATGTAGTACACCGTTGGAAAGAGGATCAAAAAAGCTACGATTTGATCGAGGAAAAATTTAGCTTTGGTTGCAACAACAAAAAATTTCAGTCAAATTTCTAACAGGCTTGATTTTTGGCAACACAATTTTTGGCCAACTTGACGTTTTGACTGTCAAAATACGAGATCGGTGGAGTGGGTCAACTTACACATACTCTCCCTACCAGTTTGATCTTGACCAACACCCTGAAAAACGGCTTTTTGTGGGATTTCCCATACAAAAGTGTCATTTTTGAACAAAATTCCAAGAGTTTTAGAAAAAAATGTCGATTTAGACCAAATTTATGGAAATTACGTGTTAAATTGTTCAAAGACTCTCATTATTTTCGCAAAAAATAGCTGTTTGCTTTGATAAAGACCCTGAAAAAAAATGCTTTTCCCAAGCATTTCCCATACAAATGTACCATTTCACAAAGGTTTCCAGGTCCTCAGTCCGAGGCTTATGGTACAAAATTGGTAGGTGAGAATGGGCTCAAAATCAGTTCGAAGCTTTGTCTCAACATTCCAACAATTTTGGCTTTTACAGAACACTATATACACGAAATTTTGATCTTTTTTTTCTAAGAGAGCATCTAGTATGAATGAAGTATCGGTAGAAAGCCCTTGGCTTATAGGCCTAAAAAATACGTTTAAACTTGAGAATTGAGCAACCGTCTTCACAGAAAAAGCCACTTGAAAATTGAGAGCAATTCTCAGATTTTCCCATTTACCGGGCGATTAGCTCGAAATACGTCAAAATCGGACCATCCGTTCAAGAGTTATAGTCATTTGAAAATTTTCTTTGACGTCTCCACCGATTATTTTGAGAAAATGGTGTTGTCATAGGTATGAGGGTCCGGAGGGTCCATATTACTCCCTCATTGAGAGCACCAAAAATATCGTGGGTACTACTACAATTTTTTTCTGGCCACTGCAATAATCTTAGATGCTTCTACAATTTTTTTAGGGCCACTACAATTTATTCTGGGTTACTACAATTACTGAAACAGTTTGGACCAGTCTTGGAGCAGTTTTTCTCCCTAAAAGTGAAAACACTGCTGTAGTCAAATAAATCGTTGAAAACATCAAGAATCGGATGACTGATTTGAATTCTACATTTTTTCTACAATTTTATGGAACCTAGCAACAGAAGAGGAAGATTCAGTTGATGGAAAGTTCAATTTGTGCACAAGATTTGAGTGTTATCAATTTTGGACCAATTTATTTATTTATTCATTAACATCGCCAATAAACTGGCTGAATATTTGGTTTTGCAGGAAAATGACTCCAAGAGTCATGAAAAATCTGATCTTTTGATTTTAATACGATTTAGGGTATAACAGTAAATAGTTTGACTATACATAGCTATTGGTTCTCGACTAGGCAAAAGGATAACCTAATTAATGACTACGCGAATGACCAAACATGAAATGTCTAATGAAAGCCGATTGTCAACGATTCAAGATAATCTAACAACGCGTTTGAAAAATGATAGACTAACTGGAGCGTTGAACATATTAGTGTCGACCTCAATGACTGCAAAAGTCATCGTTCAATTTATCAAATAGGTGGTGAATTGAAGAGAAGTTTTACGTCTAATCTAAACAAGTCCCTGTTGGTAGTTTTTTATTTTATTTATTTCACTTCGCCAAAAACTGGCTGAATATTTTGGTTTGCAGGAAAACGACTCCAAGAGTCGTGAAAAACCTGATCTTTTTGTGTTTGTACAATATATGGTAATTTTATACAATAAATAGTTGTAATAGTCTTTCTCGATTGGTATAACAATTTGGTCTAAAAAGCATTGACACAAGATAACCTAACCAATACATGGAAATGAATAGGTAGCCGAAATGTAAACGGTCCAATATAGCCTAACTTAAACGTGTAAAAATGAAAGACCAACTGAAGCGTTAACACTGTAGTGACGGCCCTAATGACTGCAAAAGTCATCATTCAATTTATCCAGAGGTGATACATTGAAGAAAAGTTTTACGTCTAATCTAACAAGTCCCT